TCGGGAAGCCGATTTCACTCAGAACAGTGAGGCCTTCTTCCTCTTTGGTCAGTTTAACAGCATGAGGCTCTAGCCCACTTTGGGAGTCCATCATGTCCTGTCCTGATTTTTTGGTGATATGCTAGAGTAAATTTATGAATGTTGCAAAAGTAAAATTGATACGTAGCACCTTCCTTATGTGGGAAAACTCATTATCTAAGAAGATACCTGATTGATTTTGAGCCAGGCAAGCCATTTCTTCATGTGGATGCCCTAATTTTGCAGGTAGGTTTATTTGAAAATGGTCACTTTTTGGAGCCGTTGACACACACAAATTAATAAAAGTTGTGTTTCCTCAATGTTTCTAAAACTTCCCTGCCAGAGAAGCTTCACTCCCGTAGAGAGGGGTTGAGGGATGGGCAGTTTAAACTGTTAGAATTGTAGAATCATAGAATGTTAGAACTAAAAGAACCACAGGCATCCTTTAATCTATTGCAATTTTATAAATGAAGTAAAGTTAGTCTAGTGCAGTGGTTCCTGAATGCCAATACTTGACAAAATTTTCACCAGTTTGAGGCAAAATGAGAAAAATACAGTTGCAGTGAGTTCTTCATAAAAAATTATATGTATTCAGTTTAAAGACCTGTCTGTTGTTCTGAAATTGTATATTTTCTATATTTGGGGGGTTAAAATGTCTGGTCTTTCATGAAATGGTAACAGTAGATAGCTGTGTTTCTAAAAATGTCTCTATTTTAAGAAATAAAAATTTGGGAGCCTTCTCTCCGTCCCCAGTATTGAGGATGGAGGTGCATTTTATTAGTTCTTGGAACCCAAGCATCTAGGAACCCATGACCTAGTGTATCTGCCTTGTAGCCTGATGGAGCTGGACGAGGCAGAATGCAGAAGGAAGATAGCCGCTCGTCCCCTGCCTGGGGCCTGTCTTGTCCAGAAGAGAGATCAGGGAAAGGGCCAGTCTAGAGCTTTGGATCTTCAGACAGGTGTCCTTGTTTAAGTAGCAGACTCACAGCCGTTGTGACTTTGGGGGAGTCTCTTGACAGGCCAGGGTACACAGAGTTTCCAGAGCTAGGGCCATTGTTCACCAACAGAGCCTTAAAGCAATGATTCCCAAACTTTGCTGCATGCTAGAATTATCCGGAGAGCTTTTTTTTTTTTTTTTTTTGGTGAGGAAGATTAGCCCTGAGCTAACATCTGTTGTCAATCCTCCTCTTTTTGCTGAGGAAGAGTGGCCCTGGGCTAACATCTGTGCCCATCTTCCTCTACTTTATATCTGGGACACCTGCCACAGCATGGCTTGATAAGTGGTGCATAGGTCTGTGCTCGGGATCCAAACCTGCGAACCCCAGGCCGCCGAAGCAGAGCACATGAACTTAACTACTATGCCACTGGGCCGGCACCCAGAGAGCTTTTTAAAATCCTAATGCCGAGGTTGCACCCCATACTAGTTAAATCATACTAGTTAAATCAGAATGCCTGGGAGCGAGCGCCAGACGTCTTTTTTTTTTTTTTTTTTTTTTTGCTAAGGAAGATTCACCCTGAGCTGCTAATATCTGCAAATCTTCCTCTCTTTTTTAGTGTGTGGGCCACCAGCACAGCATAGCTGCTAACAGAGCGGTGTAGGTCTGCGCCTGGGAACTGAACCCAAGCCGCTGAAGTGGAGCGTGCTGAACTTAACCACTAGGCCACCAGGGCTGGCCCAGTATTTTTTTTTTTTTTTTGATCCCCAGCTGTTTCCAGTGCACAGCAAGGGTTGGGGATCACTTCCTTTGAGTTGACTGGGCAGAGGTTCCGAGCACGAGTCATGAGTACTGCCCAGGAACAGTCCTTTCCAAGAGGTAGACGGGGTGTTGTTATTCACAGCCTTTATTTGGGACTGATGGTTGCCCTGCTGGTTCTGACAGTTGATCACAAAAGAACTGTGAACTGACACCTATTTGCAGGGACACAGAACACAGAAGACCCTGTAACTCGTAAAACAAATGATCTCGGTCAACTGGATATCCATAAAGATGAAAGTTATTATGAGGCTTTATTGCATTTGATTCCTCCTCCTGATTTTCTGCATAGAAATTCAAGTTGCGAGATGGTCTTGCAGCCACTTTTGAGCTTACAGCTACAGAGGCAGACATTTTCAAATAACGTATACATACGTATTAGCTATCTGATACAACATCAGGTACTAGTCCATGAAGAAATGGATAAGTAATTGAGAAGATACTCGCCACCAGGCACTTCCGTGTTTACTGCTCAGCATTTCTGGATTATCTATCCCTACCCATGCCCTTCCTCCCTCCTCTCCTAAGGGACCCTGCCTCCTCTGAGGTCAGTCACTGCCCTGCGTCCATTCTCTCCCGCCAGCTTTTGGCTTTGCTCCCTCAGTTACCACGTCTTCTCCCGCCATACTGACTTTCCTGCCGCGCGGCTTTCACGTGTGCCCTGGATTCCCTGATGCAAATCAGCCTTCACCTGACCCCGAGGCTGCCCTCCTCACCCTGATGCTGTTTCTCCCCTCGTAGACCTGATGGCTGCGCTTTCTCCTGTCTGTTCTGCCTTTCCCTCTGCTGTCAGTTTCTTCAGGAAAATACTCCTGAAGGCCACCACCTCCTCAGTCATGTTGCTCTCTGACCCTCCCTCTGTTCATGAGGTTCTCCCCTCCCTGGTTTCTCTGCTGCTGCAGGGGTCTAGTTCTGCTTTGGTCTGTCTCTTCCTTTGGTTCCACACTGTTTTCTGGTCTTCCCCCTGCTCTCCATCATGGGCTGTAGTTTGGTCCTTTTCTCTTTCCACTTATTCCCTCTCATCCACTCCCAGATCTCCATTTCCAGTTCTGGTCTTTCTCTTAACCTTCGTTCTTCCATTTCAGCCTTTTTGATGGACTCTTCAAAAGGCCTTGTTCTTGAAGGAAATCTGTCTTCTGCTTCCAGCCCCACCACTGATGCAGCCCCTTCCCAACTTTTCCATCTCCATGCCTGGTGTCCCTTCTTCAGGTCACTGAGCAAACTTTTGTTGTGATTATTGACTCCCCCTCCCTCCCTTACACTTCTTTCTCCCTAATGGTTTCACCAAATCATGATGATTCCTTGTCCATAGCTTCTCTCGTAGCAATCTTTTTCCAATCCTATGGTTACCACCCTAGTGTAAGTCTAGACTTGATCTTTCTGAAACCATATTCCTCTGCTCAAGACCCTGACCTCATTAGCCTGTCATCGTCATTCAAGGAGCTCCATAGTCTAACCTGCTCACCACACTGCTTTTCCAAACCCATCTCCCCCTTCTTCCCTGTGCAAACCCAGTGAGCCTGCAGTCTGCTCTCACCCACCTCAGACCTTCCTTCACACCATTCCCTTCTCTTGGCTCAATCAGATCCTACTCCTCGTCAGATTTTCCTTCCTGTATAAAATTTGTCTTTACACAAGAACAGGAGGTAATTTTTCTCTGAATTCCATATATTCTTATTGTCCTTTTCCTCACATAGAATTTTGGTTTACTGCCTTGTATCATTGATTGTCATGTCCTCTCCTCTACCTGTTGGATTGTAAGCTCTCAGAGGGCAAGGACTGTCTTCTCACAAGGCTCCACAGCATCCCTGTGGGACTCTGCCTGGTCAGGATTTTCAGCACCTATTTGTCTGCAGATTGATTTTTATATTATGGGTGGAGTTTTCACTTTCTTTCTTATAGCAAGAGAATTGGTTGGGGGTTGGTAAAACCAATCTTTCCATTGAGTGAAGGAAAACCAAAAAGAGAAACAACAGATAGTTTTCTGAAAAAATGATTTGAGAAGTCTTCCATAATTGGGAATTTAGTGTAGAATCGTATAGGGAGTGATCAAAATAATAGAGTTTCCATTAGTGGGTGGCATAGTGTAGCATATTGATTAAGAGCTTTTTCTTCTGTTACTTAATCTTTCTGTACCCCACTCGCCTGATTCATAGGAGGCCGATAATTGTGTCTGCTTCATAGAGTTATGAGCATTGAATGAATTAGTAAAGCACTGTGAATTGTTAGCACAGTTCCTCTTCAATAAGTGGTAGCTTAATTTTTGTTTACCCATTATAAAGGATGTGCCATGGAGGTACCCTCTCACTGGAGAGGCAATTATAGGTAATATGAACAAGAGCCATTCTGACTCTTGGCTTGGAAATCTAGAAGAGCAACTCACTTATCAGAGTATTTCAAATAGCCCAGAAAATGCAGATTGAGCACCTACCATGAAGGGATTATGGTGGATTCTAAGGCTATAGGGATAAATAAGGCGTAGTTAGTCCATCCCAGAGGAACTGATAAAAGAGTGAAGGAAAAATTGTATACAAGTTAGAAAAAGGAAAGAAAAGGGAAAACTTTAGGAGAGGTTTTGTCCTGGTGGAAGGAGACTTTCTTAAGGTGCTTTTCCAAGACAGTGAGGAGAGAGTACCATGGTGTGGCAGCACCTGTGGGGAGTCTGGACAACCAGGGATTGACCTGCAAGGTATCTGCTCAGTGGGTCAGGACACCGTGAGACAAGAGTGAGTTCTGTCCCTGGGAACCAGTTTGGTCATCTCTGCTCTATGGCCACAGACCATATTGACCTTTGACTCTGACTCTGCTCCAACTCGGGCTCCTGCAGGACAGCTTGGGTGACCTTCACTGAGCATCTTCTCAGTGTTTGTCCCACTGATGGAGCAAGAACACCATCTTTTTATTACTGGGAAGGCTTTTTATTATTAATGGGAAGAATCCATGAACTAAGGATGTTGGGAAAATATTAAGTGGACTCACAGAAATGAAACATCACGCTTTTATTGTCATCTCTGTGTCTCTGGCCAAATCCAATTTTCATATTTAAGATGAATTAACCCTTTCCTCTATCTACCATTCTAAGTGGGAAAGATTATCTGAGGCCTTATTTCCTTGGGACTGTTGGAAAAGGAATTTAGACAAAAATCTGAGGAAGGACCAAATCTTGCATAGAGTGTGCAAATAGGTTCAAGTAATTGGACTGAAAATGCTCCCCTTTTCTTTTGACAGGGGAAAGTGGAAGTGGAAGCTGGGAAAGAAGGTATGAAGTTTGAAGCGAGTGCTTTTTCATACTATGGTGTAATGGCCCTTACATCCTCTCCAGGTGAGTTTCCCTCTCAGCCTCTTAGGGCAGGGCTATGTTTAGGAAATAATGCCCTTCTACTGTCATCTTTCTCTCTCTACCTGCCAGCTAACCTTATTTATTTACTCTTTGAACTTTTATTGAAGTATATCCTGTATACAAAAAAAACTGCACAAATCACTAGTATATACCTCCATGAATTTTCACAAACTGAACACTCCTGTAAACGAGCACCCAGACAAGAGACAAAACATCATCAACCCCACAGAATCCCCACCATCTCGCTCTCTTTTTAGTCACTATCCCCCAAAAGTAACCAATTTCTTGACTTCTAAGCATTGCCTAGTCTTGCCTAGTTTTGAACTTTATATGAATGGAATGATACAGGATGTATTATATTGAGCCTGGCTTCTTTCACGTTCATCTGTATTGTTGTGTGTGCTTATACTTTTTGTCTTCTCGTTGCTGTACATATACAACAATGTGTGCATATGCAACAATGCATTTATTCTTTTCATTGCTGTTGGACACTGGGGTCATTTGCTGTTTCGGGCTACTCTGCACTGTGTGGCTGTGAACAACACGCTTGTACATGTCTTTTGGTGAACGTGTGTGCGTTTCCGTTGGGAATTGCGGGGTCACAGGAAGTGGTATCTTCAGCTTCAATAGCTACTGCGCAGCAGTTTTCGAAAGTGGCTGTAAGAGTTTGCACTCTTACCTGTGCTAACGAGGGTTCCATTTGCTCTACATCCACCACTTGATGTTGAGTCTTTTAAGTGTTTACTATCCTGGAGGTTTTTTAATTTGCATTTTCCTGACGATGAATGAGGTTGTTAATATATATATTTATTGCCCATAGCCAGCTCTTATCTAGAGAGGTGGCCAGTTGAGTCATCCAGCTAAGGGTGGGTGTGCTGTGGGGTACTGGCGAAGTGCTCTGAGCATAAAATGACAGCAAGCGGTGTCTGTCCTAGTAGGAACATGGACACAGATGCCTAGTTCTCCTCTGGGATGGGACTTGACAGTCCCTCTTTGCATTGCTTGCTTTACAGCGTGTGTGCGCATGTGCTTGCTACCTTACCCAGGCTGGAACAGGGCAGGCAGGTATACAGAGGTGCTGGAGTGCCACCTTGTGGCCAAAATGCCAGATGACATGCTGTGCTAGGAAACAACTTCTGCAAACCTCAAACTTAAAAATAACCCATCCTAAAAGAAAGCTGTCGCTTCTGAAAACCAGTCTCAAAAGAGGAGGGGATGGTTCTCATCTACTGCGCCACGCATTGTCTCAGATACCCAAGGATGTTCCAGTTAGAAAGGCAGGGAAATGTCAAGAATTCTCTCCCATTTCTAAACCTCCCCTGCCCCAGATGCATCTTCTCACTATCCTGGTGCAGGTTTTTGAGGCACATGGGCCAGTGTCCCCATCGTCAATTGCTGACTAACACCCAGTGTGAACATGGATCTGCCTAACCCCACTTAATTAGTAGTTGTCTGCTGTAAACTTGAAGGCATCTTGTTTTCACTGCTAATGAGGAGACAGTGAGATTCTTAACCAGGCCAAGAAGAGCTGGCTTACAGCCTCAGTTCCATCATATGTGGGTTGCCTGACTTTGAGAAAGGCTTTTGGCTTCCTCATTATTAAAGGATATAATAAGGTTACCGCTTGTGATTCTTAGAAGAATAGAATGTGATGACACTTACCACAAGTGCTTTGTGACCTTTAAAGCACAAGAGGAAATGTTGGTATAACAGTTAGGTATTGAGACTGTGACAGTTGTTTGACAACCAGCCTAAAATTAGCCCCAGGTTAGCGGAACCAGATTTATAAAGTGGCTTTGAAAAGAAAGCTGGAGGAGTAAGTTGTACATTTTTATTGATTACTGGTTCTTGAAACCTAAATATTAACCCAGTTCACATTGAACTATGGATTTGTGTAAGCATAAATCCCACTCAGAAAAGGGATTCAAGAGCCGGCCTTCTGTATGGAAAGCCTGTGGGGCTGCAGTGGCCTTACCTAATTTGGAAATGCTAGGAAGGAAGGGAATTTCATTAATAGCGTCTTACTTATTACAACGCCCAGTAGTTTACTTGACTTTACAATTAGGATTGAGATTTCATTATATTCATTGAGAGATGCAATTAGTACAGTAATCTCAAGACAATGTTTCTATTTATTAATGCAGATTGCCTAGAAAAATCCTACAGCAATCATTTATCAAGACCTGCCCAGAAAATATGACTTCTGCCCAGTAGGGCAGTGTCGATGAGAGTTTTCAATCACATGAAGCTACAGCTCTCTCTCTGAGTCAGGGGTGATGAGGGTGACTTTGGTCTGCCATTCCCAGGAAATCTGTGTATGACATTCTTTTTACTTTCCTCTATTTTGAAATTTCAAAGTATTCCAAAGCAATTCAAAGCATCAGGTCAGAATTACAATCAGACTAATTAAGAATGTAAATGAATTGAATAACTAAGTGCTTGCCACAGGTAAAGATGCTGTAGGCTGTGCAGTGAATGAGTATTGGGGTGCCGGCACAGGCGGCTTGGGCATGCTCTTGGGGCGGTTGATTAATTGAGCTACGCTTTTGTGTGACTAGTTGTGATTTAAGTCCTTAAGAAGAGCGTGTTTTGAGCTACAAACCCCAATTGGGTATTAACGGATTAAGAGATTTCTAGGTTAGTAAAGAAGCATGTGAATAGGATTTCTCCTGATTTCAGCCTCCCTGTAGTCCTCTTTCTGGAAAGCAGTGTGTGTTCTTTTTGTTTACATGATATCATAGAGACTTTTTGCATTTCCGGCATTGAATGCTCATATTGGTAGAATAGGTATCCACTCCTCTTCCCTGTTGCAGAGATCTCCTTTCTTGCCTTTTGATATGGTCTCACCCTGTTTTTCTCCATTTTTCAGTTCCTTTGTCCCTGTCTCGTACCTTTGTTGTCAGCAGAACAGAGTTGTTAGCAGCAGGTTCTCCAGGTAATTCTGCATGCTTCCTTTTCATCGTTCTCCTGATTGCCTCCCTTCACCCCACAAAAGCCTGGCTGCCGGGTCTGCTCCCTTTATTTGGTCAAGGCCATTTTCAGTTTTTCTTTGAGCTCTAAAACTCCACGTTTCTATGACTTAATAGCGAGCTATCGAGGGAAGTATCAGCCCACGACAGATGCAGAAAGGGTTTGGGAGACTGGAAGGGAATCTTGGAACGTGACGGGATGAAAGATGGGCAGGGGGAATGATTCTGACGTGGATCATCTAGCTGTTGTTGTCCCCCACCCCCTAAACACACTGCTGACCTTCGATTTTCAGGGCAGCAAAGGCGGCTGCTTTTGGTTCTTTCTCTGACGTCAGCAAAGTCATGCTGTGTGGAGTTTGCAGAGGCCCCAAGGGCCTCAAAACCTGAGGATACTTCTGCAGAACACGTTCAGCCAAAAGCCTGAAGGACTATGAACTTTTCTTGGTAAATAAGCAGAGAACTGCATCTGCAGAGGCCCACACATTCCTGTCTCTTTGGTCCTTTTTCCAGCATCCATGTGAACGGGCGGCATGTATTTCTGCTCTCTGTCAGGCAGGTGGCCCCACTTCTCCTGTCTCCCTCTCTTTGTTTTGAAATTAGTACCATGTACATTCCTAACCAGCTGCTGGTTACTGCCCTGCAGGAGAGTTTGGTCATGCCTGGCTGATATGTCCAGCTGCTAAAAAGAAAGGCGAAGGTTTAATCTTTCTTTAATTAAAGTTGCTGGGCTTTCATGTTTGGTAGTACAACTTTTCTGTGTTTATTTTGTTCCATATAGCTTATATTTTAAAAATATGACTGATGAAATTTGTTTCATAATCCAATTTCAGCAAAACTCTAAAATGCTGATATTTGGTAAAGGAGGTGATACTTGTCTTAGAAAGAAGCTAATGTTCCCTCAAATCTTTGATCTTAAAAAGTTTGGGGTATTTGGGGGTAAGATATGATTCATAGGGCTATTTGAATCAAACCAGCTGGCAGAATATACATACATACACACAGACACGTAGGTACACACATATTTATACACATAAATATGTATTTATGTATATGTATATATGTTTGTGTTTTTTTCTCCCCATTTTATTTGCTGGCATCTGCTGTCCATTTAAAATATCACAGATGCTGTAGTCGAGTGACTTTTGGATGAAGCTCATGGAAATATCATTTGAATTTTATTTTTTCCACGGAACTTAGAGATTTTTTAGCTCTTCCCAGTGATCCAGTAATAGAAAAATCCATTTTCTGGGCCCAGGCCTTCAGGGATAGCATTACAATAATATGATACCTGATAAATGGGAGTTGATCTAAACCAATGATTTCTCCTGTTCCAAAAGGTGACTTGTGGTTCCAAGGAGGAGGCTGGGAATGTTTCTTTATAGTATCTTTCTAGCGTACTAGCAAAAAGAAGGGACTCCTAGGTGGGATGAATAAAACGACAAAAAGCAGAAAGAAAACAATTCTGAGAAGGCAGAGAAGAATTAAATTGAACGCTTTTCTCATAATTATTGTCATAAAATTTTGGCACATAAATTTGGCAACAAAACATGACCTGAGCTGAGGGATGGCCACTTAAACTTTATAAACTTTATTCTCCCTGGTGTGGTTACTCAGACACCTCACTGCATGGTGATCATGCTGGGTGCGCCTCAAGCTGCAGAAGGAGAGGTCCTGGAAAACAGGGTCCGCTTCCCCAGACGTGGCTGTGACGCTAGGCAGTGGACTCCTGGCAAAGGAGAGGGCCCATCTCACAAAAATGGAGGGCAGCAGGTTGAGAGGAAGGAAGCTGTCTGTGAGGAAGCTGTCTGAAGAAGTTGTCTAGATACCTTGGGAGACCAGAGAAATTGCCCTGTAATCTTCCTTGGGAGAAAGTAACAGGAGACTCAGAAGTACTATGTCAGGCCTCAAACATCTACCTGCTAATGCACAGGGTCTGATCAGTAAACAAAGTGCTCTTTAAATGTTCTGTTTTTATAACCTTTAAATTTTAACACACAGAAGTAAACACCATTTCAAAGGTATCTGTAGAAATGGTGATGGGATGTGGGGCTGAAGCCCAGGGATACAGTGGGATCCCTTGTTTCAAAGAACTCTTCGCTCTGTCAGCCTGGGTAAAGTTATCACAAGTACGGAAAGGCTTGATCGTGAGGGCAGGGGTGTGGTGGAGAGGGCTGGGAAGAAGCCAACAGGAAAGAATATCATGTTAACAAGGCTCATTTATCGAGTACTTATTGGGTGTCAGATGCTGTGCTAAGCACTGTGTACATTATTTTTTTAATTGTCATCAGATCTTATGAGGTAGGTATGACTATTATCTGCCTTTTATGGATAAGGAATCTGAAGCTTAGCAAGGGTGGGTCATCTGATCAAAGTTCTGTTCTGCTAAATAGAAAATAACTGATAAATTATTAATTTGCCTTGTTCTCTTAGAAGATAAGTGGAAGCAACAAGAGGAACTGCTACTGTGAGTTCAGTTTTGACTGGCAGTGGAAACCATCGGTTCATGACATGAAAATTGTAGAGAAAGTTGTGACATGAAAAATTTAGGAGAAAGTGAACTTGTCATCTGAGGTTCCTTGAATACCTACCGTGTTTTGATTCTGGGTGTCATATTTTAAGAGGGACATTTACTGAATGGAATCTCAGACGGTGGTCAGGATGGAGTGAGGGGTGGGAAAACACGTCAGGTGAGGAACAGTTGAAGTATTTATCCTGGAGACAGAGACTGAAGGAGAACATAACTATCTCCAGACTTTAAAGGGCTATTTCGAGTAGCACAGGAATGAAAGTTACTCAGAGCTCCATAGAGTGGAGGGGAGACTGTCATTTGAAGTTGAGAGTAAGATTTTGGTGGGCATGATGACAGACTTTCCAATAATTGAAGGTTGGGACCAGCCAAAGGCCAGCTCCTCTGTGGGAGCCTGTGTTAGGGACACATTGCAAAGAGGAGCCAACCATCAGATGGGAGAATTGGTCCCCTCCAATCCTGTGACATTTTGCAATTCAGGACCTATCCAGCATGGGCACCCCGTTAATATTTGTGCATTAGATTTGATTAGAAAAGCAAAAATGGAATTTTTAAAATAAAAAATTATTTTTAATGAAATTTATGTTAGAAGCTACAGTGAACTTGCCTTTAAGAGCAACACTGCTTCGACTCACCTGAATTTCCTTTGACTTTGTTTTAATGAAAGACTACTGTCAGTCTTACTGAAGAATCCCGCAGCACCTAAGGGAACTTAATCAAACCCTTTAAGGGTTTGGTGTCTTCTAGTGATCTTGAAGTCCTGAGACATCCTCGGGCTGCTGACAGGGGGATTTTATCAGGGTCAGAGACAAAGATAATAGGTTTGGCTGGGTGTATAGCCTGAGCAGACAGAACTATTCTGATCCCTTTAAGACATATACTGACTTATAAAGGACTCTCAAGAGTCCTTTGCTTTTGCTTCTGGCAAGATAACGCAGTGCCGCCTTCCCATAGCCCATGTTCTGTATCAAGTAGCTTCTGTGTCCTGGGCCTCGCCTCCCCTGGTCTGTGCGTTTCACAGCACTCCATGATGCTCCTGACACAGGGGTGCAGCCCCAGGGTTTTGCTATCGGAGACTCGGGGAGGGTTGTGTCTGTTCATATGAACAGGGCCAAGCAGCTGAACTAAACGGACCCCGTCGCTGACGGGAGGCCAGTGAGAGGGCCGGAGGAGGCCCTGCGTGGTGAGCCCTGTGGCTGAGACGTCTGGTACAAGTTGATTGAGCTTGTCTATTAATTATTACTTTTTTATTATTTGGAAAATAAAGAGCTGACTTTATTGCTTGTATCTACCTCACATAAAAGGTTGTTGGGTTTTTCTCCTCCTTTTCCAGGTGAAAACAAGTCACCTCCTCGCCCATGTGGCTTGAATCACTCAGACTCTCTCAGTCGAAGTGACCGGATTGACGCAGTAACACCGACGCTGGGGAGCAGCAATAACCAGCTCAATTCTTCATTCCTTCAAGTCTACATCCCTGATTACTCAGTGCGAGCCCTGTCTGATCTCCAGTTTGTTAAGGTAAGAGGAGAGAGGGGCTTGGCGGGACCTGGCTGGTGGAGGTCAACTTCCACAGCAAGTTGTTCGGCTCCGCAGCCCCTCCCCCGAGCTTTCCCTTTGGCATTTTGCAGGTGCCCTGCCCCTGGCCCCTGTGCCCAAGGTTTGGGTTGGGAAAACACTGATCTCCTTGGCTCTATCACACAAGCTGCCCAGTCAGATGTGGCTTTCTCAGGGTGCGAGGACTGGGAATGGTGAGGAAAAGAGTGACCCTATTTCAGTGAGTTTTCATGAGCTCACGACGCTAGTGGCTCTGGCTCCTAAGCGGCTGAGGTCGGAGACTCAGCAGACTTGCCCAGATGGGGTGGGAAGAACCCTTCGCTTATCTTCTGCCCTGGAGACAGGGTTCTTTTCTTAATCTGAAATAAAGACGTCTTTTGGAGAACGAACCAGCTTTAGCTGATAGAAGCCTATCTCCATTTTCCAGTCTCTGAAATTTTGAGACAAAATTTGGAAATGGCTTGTATCAGTAAAAACAGACTTGTTCACCAGAATCAACTTGAACTTTCAAAATTGGCTCAGTTTGTACTCAAGGATTTTTCTCCTAGAGGTACTACTAGGGGCCTCTCAAAGGATTTAATGTGTAATATGATGTTGAGACAAGAGAACCTAAAAATAAGCATTATCTTGGTTTGTTTTCTGTGCCATCTTCTGGCCCCAGATCTCGAGACAGCAATACCAAAATGCCTTGATGGCATCCCGGATGGACAAAACTCCTCAGTCTTCAGACAGTGAAAACACTAAAATTGAATTGACTCTTACGGAGCTGCACGATGGGTTGCCAGATGAGACGGCCAACCTTCTCAATGAACAGAACTGTGTGACGCACAACAAGGCCAATCACAGCCTGCACAACGAAGGTGCCATCTAGGGGCGCCCCCACCAGCCCTCACCCTTCCCACCCCGAGGCCCCAGGCCAGGCCGCTCAGCCTCATCCTCCATCTGACCATGAATCCCGTTAGTGTGAGCTTGTGTGCCATGCTGCATCCTGCAACATCCTGAGACCAAAGACTTTGTCCCCTTCCTGGAAGCAGCAAAGGAGGATGGAAAGGGGAAGAATGGAAATCAGAGATGTGAAATCGACAGCTAGGGCGTGGCATTTGAGATTTTGGAGATGAACTTCTTCCACCCGAATAGAATCATGTTTATTTTTTCAGCTGTACCTTTTATCATAACTCACTCTCCTCCTTCCTCGATTTGCATGAAGTTGAGAATTGTTGCAATTTATTTTTTTCAAGAGATCATGTTTTTTAAAAGTGTCTTTTGCAGAGTTTTAAGTTGTTCTGTCTGAACTCTGCTGTGACCCCATGATGTGACCCTAATAGGATGGACCTGCCCCTCAGGGGCCTTCCTTGGCCCTCCCAGGGTGGGACACCCTTCCCCTGTGCCCTAGTGGGTGTCGCTGTTGAACTTGAAGGATGAATGAAGAAAACTGTGTTGCTGCGGACCTGCCGAGTCTGTCGGCTCTGTGGGGTGGAGCCTCTACAGGGACCTGCAGTTGCCTCTGAGCTCAGTGTTGTTTTAAGTTAGTGTTTAACTGTGCCCCTTTCCCTTAGAAAGGTTTAACATTTGCTTGGAATGTGATTTTTGCTCCCACTCTAAGGAATTTTTATCACCAAAATGAATGTTAATGAATTTTAAACCCATGGTTTATCACTGGCAAGAGGCAAGTTGACTTCATCCTGACATTCCTACAGCCTGGGATCTCTGGCTCAGCCCGGCCTCCTCCCCAGCCTTGTGCCCCAGCTTCCAGAGTGTCATCACCCACCTCCCCATCCTTGCTCTTATTAACCCAAGATGCTGCTACACAGATGCCAAATGGAAATCTTCCACAGGGCTTTTGAGTAAACATGTGGTGTGGAGGTCAAGCTCCTCCTCTTCCCACCAGGATGTGTGTCATTGTCAGAAAAGGATTTGGACCTTCCAGCTGTGCTCTGTGCTCCATGCCGAGAAGGCATTTCTAGACCCATGTATTTAAAGGAGGGAACTTTGGGGACTGTCAGCCCCTGCCCCTCCTTCCAGGGAGCCAACTGTCCCTCTTCCCCTCTGTCCCTGGGCCCGTGGGGCCCAGCAGTGGCTGTGTCCCCTGCCCGAGGACCTCCGTGCCTCCCGCCTCAGATGCGGCCCACGCCAGAGAGGCTGCCTGTACAGCCAGGGTCAGTTTGGCCCCAAACAGGGATTCAGAAACCAAATGTGTGTTGTGGCCATTTCATGTGTGTCTCTATCTTATTTTAATACCAAATTCATCACATGTAGTGGAATTAATGTCAGGAGATATTTCTTGAGTGACTGAATTCTTAACTATCTTATCTGTGTTTTAAGTGTTAGCCCAAGGGATGTGTACGTTTTGTTGGCAACGTTCGTACACTGAAATGAATTGATACCGACCACAGTGTTCATATAGAATTGTCGGTCCACGCTGCATCCAGTCACTAGCCAAGAAGACAGCGTCGTCTCCACTGGGTCTCACTGAACAAAGGGAAGCCCCTCCTCAAGGTAGAAATGTGCACCCCAGGCTGCGGGAGCTATGGTTGGGGAATAACCAGCCACGTGCTGGGCTTGCCTCCTGGTAAGCAGTTTGGTGGCTCCAGTGTCATATGCATGCTTGGCGCAGTATTTCCTCTAGGATGTCAGTCCTGGAGTGTCTTCCTCAGAAGGGGCCAAGCCCCTTAGTGAGGGAAGTGCTGGCCTCACCTGGTAGAGAGGCAGGGAGGTGCCTTCTAAGGGGGCTAAGTGGCCTGCTGCTGGCATCCAACCTGCTGCCATGGGATGGATCCCCCACCGTGTAGCTTGACATTAGTGGGACCCTGCACCGTGAGTATCCCCTTTTATAAACAGATCCATCCAAGTTAAAAGGTCTCTGTTTCTTAAGATGCATCTAGCTGAGCACAACCCCAGTGTGACGCAGGAACTGGGACTATCTGTAGGGTGTGCAGAAGTGAATTTCCACTAATGAGGTGAAACCCGGACCTGGGGACGGGAGGGGGCTCACAACAACCCCAACAACAATGCCACACTCTTGGCCCGGACAGCACTTGCCTTTCTTGTGGTCTGGTGGAGCCTGGCCTGCCAAGCCGTGGTTCCTCTGGCCTTCAGGAGCATCACCCCATCAGCCTCTCCTGGTTGCTTCTCCACACACAGTTTGTCTCGGGGTGCCTTGCTCCTGGAAGGAGCCTCTGGAATCCGAGTTAGTTAATGTGTCAGATCTTTCTCAGAGCCCCACTATTCCTTCAGAAATCCTAAAGCTCTGTAAGAGTCCGGGGAGTGGAGAGAGGATTCCAGCTGCTGCCTCCTTGACTTCAGGGAGGAACAGATAACTTCTCAGTACTGTCTTATCTGCTCAGTGTGGTGGCTTTTTGAAAAGTCCTCTCTATAAAGGAGATGGCAGGGGTGGCTTTGCAGTGGGGCTCCCAAAGGATGAAATTTTAGCCTCCCAAGTTTGTACTTATTTTCTATAAACCACTCTTTACCTTTGATTATGCACACTTTTTTATAACAGGGAATCCAAAATAATTCCTGTCTGGTCCCTGAAGGAATGAAGGCTAACATTTGGCTATAGTTTCATCTGCTTTGGGGAGAGCTCAAGACCCTTCAAATAACATTCGACGTCTGAGTGACCACATTCCTCTTCCAGGCCCCACTTTCCCTGGAAACTAACTTCGGGCTGTCGAAGGAGAAATGCTGGCCCATGGCTTCCCTGGGGCAGCAGCAGAATGATTTTGGCTTTGAAGGTTTATGCAGTTCATGTCTATAAAGTAAATGGGAATCAGGCAGAGAAAGACCATCAAATAGTTGAGATCTCAATGTGCAGTCCTTAGCACACACTCGTGGGTCGTCCTCTCCTGGGGCTGCTGGCTTTGTAAGCACGGAGGGGAGTGGGCTGTGGAGCAGACACAGGTCCCGGGGTCCTGAATTCTGATGGAGCCCTTGGTGTCAGACCAGGGCCTCACACCTCTATGGTGGCCTCTGTTGCCCCAGCTCTGTGGGACCAGACCAGGAGCCTCCTCCGGCTCCTAAGCAGCCACTCACATCCCGAAGTTTCCATCTGTAACTGGATCCTTAGTATCCAGGTGTTCCCAGGATAGTCTGCTTTCTCTTTATAAATGAAGGGGGCTTTTTTCCTACTGCCTTGGAGGTTCCCTCTCTTTATTTCTCTCTGCTCTGTATTCAGCAGGCAAGTCATATATTTAAACTCTTAGAAAAACAGAACTTTAAGATTTGTATATGGATTTGGGGTGCTAATTAACTAGCTTAAGCCTTGGTTCTTACATAATTTGAATTTGAAAGGGCACCCCATTTAACTCTGTTCTTCCCTCCCTCTTCACCTCACTCCCAGAAGAGAGCTCCATGCCCTTGCTGATATGGTTGGCTTCCTCAAGTGGGAGGGAGTAGGGCATCTTGCCACTTTCTAATGTTATTTCAAGGAACTTTTGTGCAAACATTTTATGCAAAACTTCACACTAATATGGAACATTAACTGTGAATATATTTACCTGTGCTAGCCTCAGTGCTGTATGACTAAAGGACCAGCTTTTACAAGTCTAGAAAAATAGTGGTAGATACAAGTAGAATTGCATTCCCTAGGAAATAAAGCAACAGGAATTTAGGCTAAGCAGGGACCATGAACTTCTGCCCTCAAATTCTTTCATGTTGAGGAACAGACCCAAGTAGGCCCTGGCTGGTCAAAAACAAAAACAAAACCCCATCATCTGAAAACCAACCAGGGGTCTGTGGCCATCTTTGCCTTTCCTGGGCCCAGGAGACCAGGATTCCTCCAGTGTTTCCCAGGGGTGATCCCAGGCAGAGGACTCATCTGGGCTGGCGCAGGAAGGTGCTCACCTTGTTCCCTGGGATTCCAAGCAAGAGGCTTCCAGGGAGGGTTGGCTGGTACCATCACACGACCCATGCTTCCTGGTGGCATGGGCAGCGGCAACAACTCCCCTCTCAGCTCTGATCCCAGAGACAGGTTTTTCTTCCAGGGGTTTGAGGAGAACTCCAAGGCTGAGCTGGCAGTTCAGGGTGTAGAGGTTTCTGAGGCACCAGTGCTCACTTTCTTACTGAGGATACAGGCTCTTGTGCTGGATCAGGTTTGGTTCTATTCTGAGCACTGGGCTAGTCAGTGGTGCTTCTGTCCAGCAACGGTATCTGGGTGAGTTGTAGGTTAACCCAGAATTAGGAGAGATTTAGAGAGTTCAATATGAAGGTGATTTGGGGATTCAGAAATGTTTCCGATGTAAATTTATCAATGAGCAACCTACTCAGTGGATTTTTATACCTCAGGGCCATTTGCAAATATTTATATTTTCATTTTTCTTTTGCATTCAAGTGGGCTGATAGGAGAGATGAGTTCAGAGAATTCTGAGGTTCATTTACCTCCATTTGAGGGTGAGTGGTGCACCCATGCCAAGCTTGCTGACTTTCCTGTCCCTCAAGGCAGCGACAGAGGCCCTTCCTCCTCTACCACGTGCAGGCATTCTTCCCACAGCTAATGCTTACATGCTGGTTTTCCTTCTGCTTCCTTCTGTCCTGTCTGAGGATTCCAGAGTCCCTGGTCAGCCCTAAGGACAGGAGGAGGAGACGGCAGTTCATAGCAGCCGCAGAGCTTGGAGCATCTTTCCTCCCACGATCTTGGGCTGGGGACCTCCTTTGCTTCTTAGATCTTTGTGGTTGCCTCAGCTCAAGTAAGCTTTCTCTCTGTATATGCTAGAGCCACTGACATCATCTCACTAGAATTGTTTTAAATATCTTTTGATGGGAAATACCAGGCTGTACTTGAAGCAACATGGAAACAAAGATTCTAGTGGCAAGAGAATAAAGTTCTAGGAGTTTGTGTGCCAAGGTTTATATGTACACAGATCCAACATATACTATAAGAAAGACTTGAGTACACAATGTTCTTGAGTTTTAATACCCACTGGGTATTAAACATGAACAAAGTGGAAGAATGACCAGGGGTATTGTTTTGCGTCATTTGGCAGAGTATCTTCTGGCATTTGCCCACATCAGACCAACATGGATTCACTCGGGAAGTGATTCTTTTGGGGCTAGAGTCCTCTTCAGATTAACCCTGGAGAGAACTATCAAGTGGACCTGGTGGGGCTTGGGTGCCTGCCCTTTTTGTTGGAGGCCCAGGCCCCTTGGGTGTAGACAGCTGGTCTCAGGCTCCTGGAACAGAAAGGAGTGGGGAAGAATAAGGCCTCAGGACTCTCATTCCCCAGAGAGCCCCAGTCCAGCTTCTGATTTGTTATTCCCTGTCTGAAGTCTACTGTGTAGGTGGAGTGTATCAGTTCATTGACTTTTCTTGTTTCTGGAGTCCTTTAAATCCACAAATGTATATGCTTTATTTTATATTATTATTTATTATGTACATATGCCTCTACTGTTAGTACATCATCTGTGACGAAGACAAGATCTGTTCTGGAGCCCCTCATCCATGGATCCTAGGGTTCTGTTGTCTCAAAGTGGGTGAGAGGGCAGCAGTTTTGTTCTTGTTTCTGTTTTAAGCAGGTTGCTGCTCTTATGTTGGTCCTAGCGTCCCCTGACAACCAGTGTCCGGGATGAGAATGGAGTCAGGTCTCCTACCTTGTGGCAGGGCCTCTCAGGTACCTCCACGAAATACTTTAGAGGTGGTTTCCTGGTGACTGGGTTGATTCTCTATGTAGTGGTACAGCATGGCTGAGAGACCAGAGCCTCCTTCCTCACTCCTACCCTCTCAAGCCAGGTCAGTGGCCTGGCCCTACAACAGTGATGGCCTCTAATTCCCACCTTGGATTGCAGAATCCATCTCTCTGGGCCATGGAGGCTGCCTGCCCATCTGGGCTTCTGATATGCCTTTTCTTGGTTTTGAGGCCCAATGCCAACATTGCCGTGGCCTTCAAGTAATACCCTGCTTTGTGTCTGATTGTCATCTTCCTCAGCCTTTACTCACTGTATCATAGTGTACATTTCATGCTTTTCTGCAGTGAAGTTTTCTGAACACAGTATTCAGAGCTGTGTACATAAACCTAAATAAGCACAATTGACATGTATAGGTTTCATGAGCTGATTGTCATGATGAATGCGTTTTATAATTCAAATGATGTTGTAGATTTACAATCTCTCCTATTTATTTTGTACCAATTTATTTGTAAATTTTGATTGTTTTAAAAGGTTTTTGTTCATTTCTATTATTCTATTTAGATAAATGATGATTTTCTGTTTACCCTTCTAGCGGATGTGTGTTCCGTCTTTCCCCTTTCATCTCTGCAACACCAGCTTCAGTCCCCTGCCCAATTGTATGGCTTCACTGATCGGAAAGCTGAGATTGGTTGTCGGCATGGCAACACATCAGGGCATTTCCTTTGGATGTACACCACAAAGTCTTATGTCAGAAGAGAAGTGGGTGCTAGAACTGTGCCTCCAGCTCACAGCCTGATACAGCCAATTCCAGGGGGCTGTTCTGTTTTGCAAGGATTGTAGTCTGTCCCGTATGAGTTCATTTTCGATAAGGACACTGAGGATATCCACTCAAATTACCCCAGACATTTGCTGCTCCGTCAGTAATACAACACAGTTCAGCTGGGCACATGTCTAAGCTCTTTTTTGCCTAGGCAAGACCAAAGGCCTCATTCAAGCCTTTCAGTTGGCTCTTGGAGATGAAAAGGGCTCTGTAGGTCCTCCTCTGCTATGTGAAGCCCAGAAGAAAGGCTACAGCAGGCAGAGATGGTTCACCCTCAAGTCAAAACACCAAGTGTGAGTGAGCTGAGTCATGTTCAGATGCTCTTCAGGATTCAGCAGGCATCTCACGTCCCCTATAATCCAGTGTGTGTGGCCCACATCCTCTCCCGTCACTTCTTTTCAAGTCTTCTGTTCCTTTTTACCCTCCTCACTCACGTGCCCAGACCCTGAGGATCTTCCGGTCAAGGTTCATGGCCCCTCTGGGATCCATTCCTAGACCACATCTTTTTTCCTCTACTCTTAGTCTCTATTTTACATTCCAAAGAGGATCATGCTGAGAATTGAGCCTCTTGATGACTGGTCCGTTATTTTCCCCACTGTACTGTTTAACCATGGTGTTTGTGGTCTATTTTACTTACCCTTGTCCTGTGAATGGAGACATTTCAGTGATGAACTGCTGACAAGATTGGCTTTGAGCCACTGTCTGACCTAACCACCACTCCCACCTCCCCAATCATTACCCCCGATTTCTTGAAAAGTAGAAAGAGGTAGCTCTGTGTTCCAGTGAAGTGTTAGCTTTTTGGGAACCTGTTTGCTTTCCTTAGAAGCAGAGCAGAACCAGAGGAGGAAGTCTTTCTGCAGCACATCCACTCCCAGCTGGCTGCTTTGCTTAGTTTTTCCTACTTAACTCACTTTGTCTAGATGAGTCCTGAGCTCAAATTGGGACAAATTCTCCAAGGAAAATAGAGGTGATTTTTCCTACGGTGAAGATGAGATTTGCCTCAGCTTGCCCTCTGCATCCATGGGGTCCCCAACTGTTGGTTCATTTCTAAGCTGTATTGTGAAAAAAGCTCTGGGGTTTCTATTTCATATAACAAATTTTACTCCCCAGTACCTCTTCTCAACTCAGCACTTCTGAGGACAGAGTGTGATCAGAGGGTCTTGTAGAGAAAGTGACTGGTACAAACTGACCTGGGGTTGATTTCTGAAAACTTATTTTATGCTTTTTGAACGTAATTGAATTTAATAAAGAGATGATTCCTTATTAAAGCCAAAAAGTTGAATTATATAGATGGCTAATAAAGTCTTTTGCCTTCTTTGTATGATTGTTTCATCATTTTCTCTCCAAGATCCTCACATCTGTGCTCTTACTCTGAGCAAGTCCCAGAACAAAGGAATATAGGGCCCTTTGTGACATTCTGGTGTCAATGCCATCTCCCCTGGTGGATGAGTGAGGAATCAGCTGCCAGAATTCTTGGTCAAAGTGCTTTTCCTGCAAGGGAATTAGTGATTGGGAAGTGCTCAAACAGGCCAACACATGACAGGAATTTTTAGATTGAGCCAGCTTCCCTACCACAATTCTGCTACATCATTGACTTGAGGGCAGTGGGTCCAAAAATGAAGTTACTTGCTTCAGAATACCCACACCCACAAGTCAAAGATGACCTCTGGTGAGAACCTTCTCTCAAACAAGACTGGACATTTAATAAACATTTTTCAGTGTTGGGAAGGTTTGCTTGGCAAATCCTCTTTTCAAGTATCTCAGGAACTTGTGAGACTTGGAAGGACTACTGCTGCCTTTCATGGGAAGAACGTGCACCCAGCTGCTTGCACTCCAGTGTGTGTGGTGAAGTTTATGTTGGCGCAGACTCTTCAGGCCTCCTGTACAGCCCTGGCCAGACAAGGCTTTAGGAAGAGCTCAATGGGAGAGCAGAGCATTTGGGACATATTTGTACCTAATTTGATTCATGAAGCAATCTGTCTAATCCACCTTTTTTCTAGTAATAAAATAGAGCAAAGGTATCCAAAGAAACATAAAGGGACCAGACCAAAAACTGGTCATTTTGTTTTAAATTGGAAAATATAGATTAGACTTGCAGTAACAGCAAGCTTGAGACGAAATGCTCTGTGTTCAATTGGGAGTGCCTTTTTCTGTTAAAGCTCTTCAGAGGGACTTAAACTACTGTATATATTTTTATTTTTGAAAATTACATACCTTTGGTGGGACAAGTCAGATTGTTGTAGCCTTGGGATGAAGACACTGAGTCTGAGGACAGGTAAAGATAGTTGAGATTGTCAGGTTAAACAGAAAAGCTGCCTTGTTCATTCTGCAAGCAAATGAATTCTCTTTAGATGACTTGCTTTCCGCTATTTCTACATACTCAGCAGTGAGAACAGTGTGAAATGCCACGTCACTGTTAGCAGAGGTGTAGGATGGGACAGTGTGGGTTCCTGGAAGTCCCCTGGCTCTGCTTCCTGGCTGCTGTGCATGTGCATTGTCCTCCTGTTCTTGGGTGTAGTGCACCCTTTTTCTTCTATCTTCAAGGCTGCTCAGGTAGCTCCACGGTAGAGATTTCATTCTCAGGGCCTCCCAAAGCTGTGTATTATTTGACATTGTTCCATTTGAGGAAAAACTTTAAAGAACAACTCAATGCTCTAGTCAGCAAGAAAGAATGTCATGAGAAACCTAAGTATTGAGACGTAAACCACTAAACCAAGTGAGGAACTGGGCCATTAACTGTATGGCAATAGCTAGATCATAGTTACCATTTTTCCCACCATCAAAGAAAGGTTAAATAGTTTCCATAACATGGAATGTGGACAAGGCTCCTACCCTTAATGCAGACTTAAATATGCAGCTGTTTGTCTCAGGCTATTTGTGGTGAATAAGCAGAGTATTTTTAAATGCTCTGGCAGCCTTGGAAAAATTGCAGGGCTTTAAAGTTGTTGACAAAATATTTCTTAAATAAATCTGCTTTAGAAATATCTAAACATGGACAAAGTACTTTTAAATCTGACATGTAACTGCAAGTAGCTTTTTAAAGTGGTTGCTTAAAAACAATACATGACTGAAGGATTTGCAGCTCTAAGTTATTCTATTTGGAAGGGGTAGGTTGAAGGGCTTGCTTTCTTATTTTAGCTCTCAGCAGACCTATGCTTATGGTAGGAGAAAACCAAAAGTCTAAAGGGAACATTACACTGTCTTGGCTTTAAGCAGCTTTGCTGAAACACACTACCTGAGCTTTAACTGACTATCCCTGCAGAGATGAATGTGTGGGGCAAGTCCTCTTGCAGAGGGAACCCAGCAGGGCTGGGGTCTGCTGTGCCTCTGATCACCTGCTCGGTGTGGCAGGGTCCCTGTTAGCCTGTACATGCCCTAACACTGGGAGTTCAGTCTACCACCCAAGAAGGAGTGCCTGGTGCTTTACACAGCCTAAAAATAAGTAGTGTTTTCCAAGTACCTAGGAAAGAAATTCTGAAGAGTTGGGAGTCTGTCTTCTCAGTCTAAGACGCCTCAGGTTTTAAAAAAAAAAAAAAGGAAAAGTATACATTTTGAGTTTGGCTTCCTTAAACTATTGGCAACAGAGAGAAACTCACATTCATGTTTTAACAAGCTCAATTACAGCTGCCCTGAGTGCCTGCCCATGGCCCACTTACTCCCCAGCACATTCTTCTAACAGGAATAGTATACAGAGAAGCAACACTCTGCTCTGGGTCTTAGACTCTTTTGGAATCCTACCTCTTTAAAATATATTTTGGTAGTTCTGAAAAAGCTGTGACCAGCAGTGAAATTCTTACTTAGTCCAAATGTGTGCTTTTATGTCTCAATCTTTGGACCCACTGCCAGAGAGACATCTGGCTAAAAATCTTACACAGATAAGATCTTACGTAGATAACAATAAAAAACTTGTTGTAAATTAAAGCAAAGTGATCATGTTGGTCCTTGCTCTAAAAGGGAAAATATGTAAATATACTAGTATAAGTTAGCTCTGTAGCTGTAATAAGTCACTTAGAAATTATTTGGCTTTGAGAAAATTTAAGTGTCAAACTGGGGAACATCTCCATCTTGAATGTAGTCACCCCAGCTATTAATTATTCTTAAACACATTCTCTAAAATTTAAAACAGGGACAGAATCTAAATGCTATTTGCAATAGTATTTCTTACCTGATACTTTTAAAGTAGCATATATTCCTAATAGATACAAGTTAGAAAGTATGTTTCTTGACTTAATGTAAAGCCATATATATTGAAAGTGATGAGGTACTGTGGCCTTGGCGAACTTACTAAGTTGTGTTCCCTACTATAAAGTGATTTTTAAAAAAGAAAAAAAAGCCTTACCTCCCAGTCCTCTACCAAAACTTTCCATAAAAAATTGAGGCCTATTTAAGTGCTATAAATTTAACCATTGATTAATCATGCTGGACTACATTTCCTTTAAGAGAATGTCAAATTGACATCACTAAGCCAAACCTCATCCCACTTGAAGAACAATAGTTATTACAGTTGTATTACAGGAAGGAGTAAAAATCAGTATTATAAATATTATACTTTATTGAATTCTAGAGCAGCTAATCTACCCTCCCACGCTGACCAATGACAATAAGAACAGAAAAAATATAAGAAGTTTAAAGCAAGAGTATACACCACTGTTAAAAATGTTTTAACAACTTTCACTGTACTGGTGAGCAGTTAAAATACCCTAAAGTATACAGCAATGATCCTTTCTTGTTCAAAACAACAAGAAGTCATTTCACTTGGGATTCTGAAGTGAATTTATTCACACAGATTGTGCCCTTTGCTTTATAGTAAGGTTCTGGCTTACAGAGCCCTCTTCCCATCCTCTAATGCTCACTCTGAAATACAGCAATCAACCCTACAAGATAGAGGAGGCTGGAATGGGGTAGCATGAGCCACACTACGTAGTCCACACTAATGAATTTTAGTCACTTCTGCTGTAATTTAAGAAGGTTCCTCCTTTTCTTTTCAGGGGGCTTGCTCCCTTGTCTTCTTTCAGCTACATTCTTCTATAGATTTATCCCAGACGAAAAAATGTTTTTGGATAACATAAGCATTTTTGCTATCCATCAAAAAAATGTAGAAATGGATGAAGACTTTTGCCTCAAAATGAAATCGTTGCAGTCCATTTCAGACCAGCCCTATAGCAAGCAGAGAACAGTTCTGCAAAGCCAATGACAGACAGCAGCCTTACCAGAGTTACTGAGGACACTTCAAGGCTTGTAAAAGGAACCTTGACCTTAACAGAAAACTACATATGATAATGGAAACAATATATTTCACCACAGATATACAATACTGTGTAATGTACTGAAAAAGATGAATTTTGGAGTAAAAGCACAATTTGTAACATAACAGTATTTTTGGATCACCTGTTCCCATCCTCCTTTTCTCTGAGACCCTGCACCACCCTTAGTGTATCCAGATACACTACAACATAATGATGATGAAACAAGACAAGGAAACAGTGTCACAAGCCACGATGGAGCCATCTGCATGCAATTCAGCCTGGGTTTACCCTTACTTTCTTCCAATACATTCTCCATTACTATTTTGAACCATCTGCAAAGAGTACAGACACACAAACTAAAACAAAAGTATCTCCCTATGATTAGAATATTTTCAAGTCTTCAGAAATTTTCCAGATCTACCTTTGAGGGAGCTCCCCTCCCCCGACCAGAACCCAAATAGGAACATCCTTTTCTCCTGTGAGTCCTCTAAACTTGTTTAATGGGTGCTCAGAGTTTTGGTTTTCCTCCTTATTCTTCTTCTTCCTCCTCCTCATCATCATCTTCATCATGGCAGTGTGTAATTTCTTGGGGGGCCAGTGGGAAGAGGTTGGGAGGTTTAATCTCGCTAATTGACCGTGTCAACTGATGCCGCTTATAGTCGGTATCTTTGAAATCCACTGACGTGCGGTTCCGGGTGGCAAGTGGGGACTCCATCTCATTGATGTCTACATGTGTGTGCTCCACTGTTGATTCATGAGGCATCTAGAACAAAATCAGAAGCTCAGAAAGCAGGTGGAGCAAAATAGCTGTTTCCCAAATCGTAACCCCTCTCACTCTGTTAGGTGGCCATCCAGAGGAAGGTCTATAATGGACCAGAGGCCACGCCAATTTAGATACTGAAGTATCTTCCTGGAACTACCTAGAACTGCCTATCTTCTCTCTTCCCAACCCTCAAAACTCCGCCCAGATTGTTTACTATAGCCTGAAACTGGTAAGATGGGAAAGAAGAGATTCTTACTTTCTATTTCACAGCAAAAAACAGTCCTGAAACATAGATCAGTATCAGAACACGGAAATATAAAATCCTCATTTCTCTCAATTAGTACTAACAGAAAAGGAAGTTCTTTGCCATTCAAATAACTTTATTAATAAGTCGATTTCAGAGAGTAAAGTTATACTCTATAACATTCTATCTTGATCATACTTTCTCTTTTTTGTGCAACCACGTTTTGCACATTAGAAAGAAATGATCTAAGGGCCAGCCCAGTGGCACAAGTGGTTAAGTGCGTGCGCTCCGCTGCAGTGGCCCAGGGTTCGCCAGTTCAGATCCCGGGTGCGCAGTGATGCACCGCTTGGCAAGCCATGCTGTGGCGGTGTCCCATATAACGTAGAGGAAGATGGGCATGGATGTTAGCCCAGGGCCAGTCTTCCTCAGCCAAAAAAGAGGAGGATTGGTAGATGTCAGCTCAGAACCAATCTTCCTCAAAAATAAATAAATAAATACATAAATAAATAGTTACATGGCACCTTTAAAAAAAAAAAAAAAAGGGGGCCAGCCTGGTGGCACAAGTGGTTACGGGCGCGCTCCGCTGCGGTGGCCCAGGGTTCGCCAGTTTGGATCCCGGGCGCGCACTGATGCACTGCTTGGCAGGCCATGCTGTGGCGGCGTCCCATATAAAGTGGAGGAAGATGGGCATGGATGTTAGCCCAGGGCCAGTCTTCCTCAGCAAAAAAAAAAAAAAAAGAAAGAAAAGAAAAGAGGAGGATTGGTGGATGTTAGCACAGGGCTGATCCCCTCACCAAAAAAAAAAAAATCACACACACACACAAAAAAACAAAGAAATGAGCTAAAACCTCCTGTGCCATCCCACAAAGCTGGTTGCAGATCTCAGCCTTAAGAGTGTATCTTAACTGTAAATAGTAGCTTAAGGTTGGATTAACTCACCAAGACGTGGGCAGCTCTGAAGAGGTAGCTGAATGGGTAATATAGCAAATTGATGAAGGATGCTGCATAGAGATCAGCATAGCGCATCACCTGACTAGCAAAGAGGGTCTGCCGGGAGCCACTGCGAAACAGGCTTCCCATCATCCCATAGCACATGTCCATGTCGTGAGTTACTTTCTAAAACAAAGAATGAGATTGAGTCTCAGCTCATTCAACAAATACTTATTGAGCACTGGCTATGTGCCAGTCCCCATATAAAATCAAAACTATGAAAATCACTTAAACTTATTTTCCAAGTTTTCTCCCAAATCCCATTTGGATACCTTAATACGTCTCTGGATGGAGCTAATGTCTGGGCGCTCATTGCTGCTGCTGTCAAGGTGCCTGAAGACAAAAGAAAAATCCAATGAATCTCTAGAAAGGACATCTCTTACACCTAGATCGACTCCCAAAAAGGTAGATGGTTTTTAGGGAAGAAATTTTTAGAATTAGGAAACTTACTTGTAGAGTTCAGCCAAGAAAACATCCAAGCTCTGAAGTTCTTCGAAAAGTGCTAGTTAAGGTTTGGAAGGAAAAGAAAATGTTTTAAATAAATCAAATAAAAAGCATCCAGTTTTTAATTGCTGCTGAAACTAAATTAAAAGGTTACAGACATGACTGAAAAGTAAAGTTATAAGTGTATAAAATGACTTCCTCTTCCCTCTTCAGAAAACCCACTGATGACCTGCTTTGAGTCTGGCGGCAGGTGAACGCAATTTCCTCTTTAACTGCCTTTCCTCCTACTTAAACACCACTGATTAAAACTCTCCCTTCCAACTGGATGCTGATTCTGAGCTTTTGTTACAAAGTGCCAATTCACACCCCAACTTAGGTGTATCAGCAAAGCAAGTGTTAATTCTATTTTCAGATGAAAGAATGAGAATTAGGTTGACTTGTCCAGAGTCACAAGTCCAAGAATTAGAGCCAAATCACCTAGATTTCTAAAATTTCATAGGTGGAAAGTTGAAAATGTGGATGAAAGGCTAGCCAGAAAATCCCACTGATAAGTACAAACAATAGCAACAGCCAACATCTGTTGCATGCTTTCTATGTGTTCCAGTCCTTCTCAACCTGGGTTCCCCAAAGAGAATTAAGCCCTAACGTATCCATTGTATATAACAAATTTTATTGTCTACCATTTTTGGGAGAACTGAGAGTCATTCCAATCATGTTCTGTGTTCTGTGGTTCAGACGAGGAGCCTTGGTTGAGAAGGGTTGTTACTTCTAGCTTCTTTATACACACATTACCTCAGTTAAGTCTCATCAGCTTTATGAAGCAGGTATTATTATCCTCATTTCTACATTTGAGGAAACTACGGCACAGGATGTCTCAGTAACTTGCCTAAGGACATGAAGATACTGAGAGGTGGAGCCAGGCTAACTACCTGAGGCAGGCTGAGTTTCTGGAGGCAGTACCTTTCACCACACTACAGGTGATGCCAGCTAAGAAAGGACTGGTTGGAGAACTTATGTGTCAAACGTCTTTACATGACTAGATGCACAGCTCAATTCAGTGTACGCAGTGCAGCTCAGTGCAGAGAATGCAATTTGGCCTCATTCTGTACTTCTCAGAAGAGCAAATAAAAAACAGCAGGAGGTGATTAACACTCAGAGCCATCAATGCCCCAGAATCACAGATATGGGGGGTAGCAGAGGGACTGGAACTAGCAGGCATGGTTGGACAAATGTGGGACTACAGACAAAAGTGGAATTCAGTTTAGTTGCTGCTGTAATATAGCTCAGGACAGTAACCTTCTATACTTATCCTTGATGGGGTTCAAGAATAAGGCTGAACAAGATAACCTCCATATTTCTTCAAATTCTGGAGTTCCAGCTATATGGTAAGGAGGTATCCAAATATCAGGTGCCATTCTTTTGACTACCTCTGCCCCCCTGCATACAAAGTGATGGTTCTTCAAAGAGGATTGATTCACAGCTGGCCATTTAGATACAAACTAGCTATGTCAAAGATTTATAAAATAAGAGTAATGGCTCCTTACAACTCTTATCAGTCCAGACATGCAGCTCTTGTGCAAGTTCAGGAATCACCAAGAAAGTTCGCCACCCTTGTCGTTTCTTTGATTTTAAAATGTCCCCAAAAATGTGATCTCCGATATACAGAATGTCCTTGCCCTTGGCTCCCAAAAGATCACAGATTGTATCGGATGAACCTGAAACAGTGGAATGAACAATGAGAAAACAAAAATGTCTCCATATTAAAAACCAGTCTTCCAAGTACCATAACACCATTAAATACTGTGCTGATTAATTTTATTCCTATAATTATGCGAGGAACAGACTAGAAAAAGGGCTCAACTTTCTTAAAGACAGAGACCCACTATTGTCGTTTTTTCATCATTCTTTTTATTGCCTTTAAGCCAAGGCCTTCAGCTCCATTGTCCTGATCAGAGTTCCTGATCACCAAATCCAAGAACAACAAAACTACATCTCAACTTAGCGAATATAACCCTCAAAAGTACCACCACCATTTCTTATCAAAGATCTGCCTTTAAGTTGGCCTTGTTCAACTGTTTCTCACTCCAACAAAGTATGTGTCTGTGTCCATAGGGGCTCCTTGAAAACCCCTTTGAACCACCCCAAATGATTCCAGGACACTGAGAAAAAGCCTCCAATAGGTAAAAGAAGGATGGGGAAAAACTGATCCTTTCAGTGAAAATCAAATATTCATTAGGACATACTAACAACTCAAACTTATTCTCCGTGACTCCTATAACATTAGTAGGTGACTCAAGTATTTACCTTCAGTAGATGATATCTAGAGAATACTAAAAAATATATGTGGCACTATGCCAGGAGGACACCAAAGCTTTCATAGTGAGGTCTGAGCAAAGACACTAAATAGGGAAGTCTGTGACTCACCTCCTGAGTAGACAATGCCATGCTGTAAGGGGCCTGTGTAGGTACCAATTTTCAGCTTGCCAGTTTTCTGTGAGAAGAGAATATGGACTTTGTAATACTTTATCATTCTATCACAATCTCCACCCAAAATGCTACTGGGCTAGGTAGCCAAATGAGCGGCACTTTTGAATTATATTCTTCTGAATTATCTAACTATCTCAATTAAGACCAAAACTCTTGGGCCGGCTCCGTGGCTTAGCGGTTAAGTGCGCGCGCTCTGATGCTGGCGGCCCGGGTTCGGATCCCGGGAGCGCCCTGAGGCACCACTTCTCCGTCCAACGTGAGGCCGAGTCCCACGTACAGCAACTAGAAGGATGTGAACCTATGACATACAACTATCTACTGGGGCTTTGGGGGGAAAAAACTGAATAAATAAAATCTTTAAAAAAAAAAAAAAAAAAAGACCAAAACTCTTAATTTCAAAAGAGAGATATGGCTAATAAGTTAAAAAATACCTGTGTCCTTAGGGAGAGTAGGAGTGGGGCAAGGGGAAACATGAAGGACAATGTGCTAGCAGATAGATCATCCTCTCAACTTACAGTATCCACCTGACGCAGTACAGTGCCTTCTCCAAAAAAGAGTGGTTTCCGTGCATCCACCAAGATCAGGTCAAAGTAGGACTGCCATGGTCGATGGGAGCTCCCAGGCTGATGAAGGAGAAACAGCAAAAGCCAAAACATCACTCCTAACCTTAAGGCACTAATTATTTAATCTCACTCAAGGTATGTAGAAATATGAAGCACAATCAGAAGATCCTACCATTTTATTAAAAACATACTGTCTTATTAAAAATGTAAATAATGACTCAATCTACATTTTTAAATCATTTCATCTACTACTTATTAACTTATTTCACAGCTTTAATATATGAAAGAAAGTCTGCTCCCACTCAAAGGGGCTAAGGAGAGATACAAATCAATACTCAAGAGATAGATTAAGAAAGAGGCAGATCAGCATAAGTGAAGTATACAAACTAACATGAAACTACTATTAGGAAATTTTACTGTTTATATTCTCAGAATGATGGCTCTACGTACACAATGGCCTTTGGCTCATATTGCAGGCTCATCACAGCACTAAAGTAGAAGTTATGCCTATTAAAAGTATTTCCATCCTGAAATGGAACCAGGGCATTCACCTTCTAAGGTCAAGCTAAAGAGCACTGCATACTGTGCTTTCGGGTGATCTCAAAACAGGGACATTTACCAACATTTATTCAAAGAAGCCTAGGACTAAAATTCCACAAGTATGTGACTAAGTTCAGTGAGTATTCCTTAAACCTAAGAGTAGCCATACTGCAGGAATGAAGACTTCTCTGCTAAATATCAAGGTTAACTGTTCTCTTGGCACAAAACTCAGCAGTAAGTTAACAGCAGATTCTAGAAGTTGTCAAGGATATACACATTTTCTCTGTTTCTTTTAATCAGATATGTTCCTCAACCTGAAAATTCCTTTCATTGCCACACAAACTTAACAATGCTGCATAGAACTTGTTGGGCATAAAATATTCTGATCCCATCCTACTAAATACCACGTGAAATCTCTTATTTCTGTCTACTAAGTTTTCAAATTGCTAGTGACTTTAAATTATACTAGCCCCTGCATTACTTCTAATGTTAATGAAGATTTCTGAATGAGTCCTGACCAATTCCTTACCCTCAATATTCCAAGACGGTTAAATGCATTCACTATTACTAAAACAATGGTCTATTAAGTTTCATATAGTACCTTGGGGCCATGTGGGAAATCAAACAGGTAAGTCATAATTTTCTGGAAAAAAAACATCCAACATAAGGTCCATATACTACTACTGCAAAAGAGATATATAACACCTAAAAAAATCACACGCAAGTTTTTTATAAGACATATCTTTTTCAATATAGGATTCATCACATTCTTGTTTCCTCTAAAGTTTATGAAATCATGACAGTGGAAGCCAGAAATTAATGCTTCATTATAACAAACAAACAAAAGTTTCTGACATTCTCAGCAGGGCACAGGCTTCTTCCAGGCAATGTTTTTGTACAGATTCATCCATATATCCCTATCCAATTTTCCTAGTGGACTGGAACACATATTTGGAGGTAAGGGGCATCGATTTCTAAATCAACATTTTACATAAAGAGGATTGGGGAGCACTGAGAAACTTGTAACCATCTTAGCAAAAGGAAGATGAGGTTAAGGAGTTAAATCGGCTTTTCTACATGGTTTAATCATGGCAAGAAAAATCTAAGTTAAGAGGTAGTAAATTCTGATGGCAAGAGTCAAAACATCTTTGTACCATCTACTGCTGTCTGATTCTCAACAGCAGGGAGGGCAGGTACACATGTGCAGTAAAGGGTGTGACTGCTCAAGTTTATATAAATGATGCACTAAAGAGACACAGAAGCCATTTGAATCAGCACAAGTGTTTTAACTCCAAAATTAAAACTTTTAAGTAGCCAATTATAAGCAGGGACAATAGTCAAAAGAAATGTTTAGAAAAATTTCAGAACCACTCTGATATAGTCCTTATCCTACATATTTTTGTTTTTTTCACTCTGCTTTCAAAAGGAAATCAAGAAAATCTACCCTCACTTAATGAACTACTATCCTCCTCATTATCTTCACAGTTATTTAGGCCAAAATAATTCCTCTGTATAAATAAACCAATATGAATATTAAGCACTTACATCTGTATATTTATAGTCACTGTTGGTGGCAAGAAATACTTTCCCTACTTCCTTCATCCGGCTCAGAAGCAAAGGCAGTTTTCCCTGAAATGTAATATGATTATGAGCAAAACACTAAAACACAAATATATTTTCATTTACACTGTGGAATAGTCATATACTAGACTTTTGTCCACTGAAGTAGGAATAGGAGATGCCCTTTAAGGGTTAGTTGGTTTGTTTCAGAATTTTCCATTTAAAAGACCACACTATCACTATGCATGAATTATGTAATTAACACATGTAGTATACATGGTACATTTAACATATAGATTTATATACAAAATGATACATATAAATGATTATATGCTTATTAAAAAAAAATCTCTACCTTCCTATGTCTGCCTCAGGAAAGAGTTTAAATTATCTTGTAATCTCTTAAAGTATGTGAATTAGATATGTTAAAGATCAGGAGAAGCTGATTTTAAACATCACCCACAAAATACTCTACATGGAGAGTATTAGATATTGCTTCATTGTGTATACTTTTGTTCTATAAAACACCTTGTAGAATGAAATGACGTGTGTGGGATGAAACCTAGAAATGCCCAGACACACCTGCAGATACTTGAGGAAATTCTAATTCCTGATGTGACCAGAAAAAAAACCAGCTTTTCCTTCTCCCACAGTAAACTGATTCCTTCACTCAAATTCTCCTGGACCACTCCTGAACTCCTCAGTGCTCTTTCTTGAAACAACAAGGATAGAGGTGGGAGTGGAGGGGAAACAGGAGGTACAACGACTAAAAACAATAAGAAATCTTTACCAAAGTACTTTGAGAAAATATGGCATTCTGCTACTTTTACTCTGTATGAAAAGGAAGAATTATCTCATCTTAGGGCTGTGTGTGTATGTGTGTGTGTTTACTTTTTATTTTGAAATAATTTCAGACTTACAGAAATGTTCTGAAAATAGTACAGAGGGTTCCCATATATTCTTCATCCAGCTTCCGTTAATATTAACATCTTAATCTCACATAACCACAGTACAATTATAAAAATTAAGAAATTAACATTGGCACAATGCTATTAACTAAACTACAGATTTAAAAAAAATTTTTTTTTAATTTTATTTATTTATTTTTTCCTCCAAAGCCCCAGCAGATAGTTGTAGGTCATAGCTGCACATCCTTCTAGTTGCTGCATGTGGGACACGGCCTCAGCATGGCCGGAGAAGCAGTGCGTCGGTGTACGCCCAGGATCGAACCCGGGCCGCCAGCAGCGGAGCGCGCACACACAACCGCTAAGCCATGGGGCCGGCCCTCAGATTTTTAAAAATTTTATGTTTTCCACTGATGTCTTTTAAGGTATTTTAAAGCTTTCCTCATCATTCCCTGTTGATAGGTTAAAGACAGTTTAAATAACAGTCGTATGTATGTTCATTTTTTAGATGATCTAGTGTTGTGATTATGATTTGGGTTACATTTAGCTGTGACTCCTGGCTTTACTACTTACTAACTGTATGAACTTAGGCAAGTTATTTAATCTCTCTATTCTTCAGTTTCTTCATCTATAAAGCAGAGGTAATAATACCTAACTCAGGGTTATATGGGAGATTAAATAGGATAATGCATATAATTACTTAGCACAGTGATGTGTGCACACAGTATCCACTCTAGCTGCTATTATTATAATTAGAGCTAAAAGGACAAATGAAATACTGGGTCTTCTTGCCTATCAACAAACAGGAAAAACTGTACTAAAACCTATGCTCTGGCTGAAACTCTTGGTGATTATACTCAGCACATATTACGCTAAAACAAAGAAATATCTTCCCTTGTCCATTTCATTATAAATATGCTTGTTATTCATTTCCCTAATAGGTAAAATAAGCTACCATGCAGGTCTATTTTCCCCTTATTACTTACATCTTTGACTACATACTTCTCAAGATTTTCAACTGTCTTTTCCTTAAGGGAGCCCTAGGGGAAGAAAGAAAAGAACAAAATCAGTTTTTAACAGTTGATAAGAAAAATTGTGTCTACTATCAACCCAAATGCATTTCTTAAGTATTTACCAATATGGAAAAGTAGATAAACTAGAGAAGGCCAGAATAAAGCAGCAGGTATGATTTGCTACAACTCTACCTTCAAAATGTATTCAAAATATAAAACTATTTTTATTTTAAACTAGAAATCAAAAGGCATTTCATATTTTATTCAGTAAAATTTATAGTAAATGTAATATTAGTTAATGTTATTAGCCAAGTGAGAGGTATTTGGAAAAAACAAATGAACCATAATCATCCTCAAAAGATGTGGTAAATATAATCTTAACACTAAATCTCATCTAAGTGACCTTGGGAAATGCAAACTGAAATAAGAGCTACAAGTCAAGCACCACCACTGAGGAAAGATCAGCATTACCTCTGAAAGCAGGACAGCCAAAGACAAGAACAAAAGTATTCTAGAGAGCTAGCACTAGCGGGGGCGAATCCTCTTCTTTTTAAACAGAGGCAAAAAATCTGCTCTATTTGCACTTGGAAAGTTAATGCCAGACCATGAAACACATGCCAGAGAATGAGCAGGTGAAGAAGCAGCTCCTAGGTACCTTGTAATGAACCCAGTCAACAGCATCTCTTACATCCTGAAACATACTCCGGTAAGACATGAAGAGGTCCCCATCTTTAAATCCTGTTTCACAGCTACAGAAAGATGAAAAGAACATGACAGGGAATCCAAAAGAGGGTAAATAAAATGATATCAAAATTTCCCAGGGGACCCAAAGTTTCCATTATCACATGGATAAAGGCTGTGTCTAATTAGGAAAATAATTACTCCCTAATGAAAATCCATTTTGATGACCAGAAATGACTAGTATTCAATGGAATACAATAATTGTGAACAAATACAAAGTGATAGAAGAACATACTGAATGGAAGCTAAAAGGCCAGTTCCAAAAATATCAAGTTCTTTTATTCATCACTTTTAAGAAACCAATTCCCATCAAAGAATCATTTAAAACTTAAAATTGGTAATTTAGGTCCTCTCCACTCTGACTTTTCTGATGTTGTCTGTAGGTACAAAGGTATTGCCTATCTTCTATTTAGCTCAGTGACTTAATGCTCTGCCAAATTTAGTGCCTTGAAGTGGATAATGCCTACAGAGGATAAGAAGTTAGCAAACTGGCATATATGGCTAAACCTTCAGCATACAATTCCCCCTAAAAAGGAGAGGATAACTTGTTGAAGACTTAAGCAAAATTTTACTTCAGGGAGATAAACAGTATTTATTCCACAACCAAATCTTGCTGGGCCTGGTAATGAAACTAAATTACCATCCCTGAATGGCTCCTGGGTAGCTGCTGTGAAATGAGTTGGGGGGTTTTAGTGTAATTCTGCTTGGACAGATAATCATCACACAAACCTCCCACTCAGTTGTCACAATTAGCACCTCTGCTGGCCGTCTTCATTCCCAGGAGAAGCCAATCAGAAGTGGTCCCTTCCAAACATGGCTGCAGCACACTGGCAAGGAGAGGGGCCGTGTGGGAGGTGAGAGCCTGCATGGAGCTGCTGGCGCTGTCCCATCTCTCAGGCTGGCAATGTTGCATCTCTCACTAGCACTAAATTCACTTCAGAAAAGCAGAAAAGACCTACAATGGCCAGTTCTCTAAAACCCTGCACATTAATTTTAAAAAATCAATTGGAAAAAGAAAATTATAGCATATACATACCTGGTGTATCTGGGACAATTAGTAAAAAAATCTACTAGGCAGGCCAACAGGTAGGTCTCTGAAAAAATGAAGAATAGATATTCATAAGCTATAAATGAGATAATTCAAACTTATTTCATTATCTCCCTTGAGCAAAGACAAATGATCATGGAAAGAAGGGAAAGCATCAGTATATGTAAGCATAGAATGAGTCTACCTGGTAGGTTGAACAGTGTGTTCAGAATGTAAAATCTTTCAGTGTCGTCTCGTTGGATAAACTTATTTGGATACTGCTCTCTAGTTTCTGGTCTGAAAGAAAAATTTTAAAATGAACTGACATTCAAAAAATTTACATTATAATAACTGTGAGAAATACTCATCATTGAAAAATTCATTCAAATATTTTGGTGGCTACATGCAAGGCAGGGTTCAAAATATTACACGTGAGTAGCTATGAAGATGAATAAGGTTTGGGTTCCAGCCCTTAAAAAGTTCTCAGTCTGGTAAAGGAGGTGAGTCACATAGACAATTATAACAAGGAAAAATAATCACTACCACAAGAAAGGTGGAAAGAGCTATGAGAAAACCGAGGAAGGGGAGACTATTTCAATTCACAGGGCAGAGAGAAGTACATGTGGAAGTGAGGAGAGGAAAATCTAGGAAGGATTCACGAAAGTGGTGGCATATGATCCGGTCCTTAAAGGCTAAGTCAACCAATTCAGAAATGAGTCCAATTTGGGTAGACATAGGGGAGCAGAGAAAAATAAAAGCTAGAAAGATGAATTGAGGCAGATCATGCTATTGTTCTCTTACTTCATTCAGGGACAATAGAGTGCCACTGACAGTTTTTTTGTTTTTTTTTTAATTGATGTTTTAATAGTTTTTAACATTGTGAAATTTTGGGTTGTACATTTTTGTTTGTCCATCGCCATATATATGACTCCCTTCACCCCTTGTGCCCACCCCCCACCC